ATAGAGAGAGAGGGGAAGAGCGAGAGAGAGAAGCATGGACGTGAGAGAGACCCATGGACTGGTTGCCTCCCCCCCACGCCCTGACTGCGGGACGGGAGCGAACTGCAGCCCAGGCCTGTGCACTTGACCAGAATGGAGCCCACTGCCCCTTGGTGCAGGGACCAGCACTTGATCCACTGAGCCACACTGGCCAGGGCTATAACATTCTGTGAGAAACAAAGTGTGACTCCAGAATTTGTTAGTTGAATTGCCATCAAGATATACATATGAAAGACCTTGAGGAATAAAACTTTCATAATTATACTCAAAAATATCCTTCAGTGATGAAATCCTGTAAAAAGGAGTGAGTCAAAATAAACTTAGACGTAGGGAAGTAGGGGGAAAAAGGTAGGCGTTGAGTACTAATTTGACTATTAAAATAAGAGTAAATGACTGAAGGAATAGAAAGTTAGTTGTATAACCTCAATAACTGGAATACACTATAAGCAACCTAAATTAGGAGCTGGGGAAGAGGAAGTAGAAGGGTGCTAGAGGATGTTAAAACCTTCTTGTCATCCATCATAGGAAATCCATATTGCATGAATTGAAGCACATATTTAAAATATGAACATAATTTTATGATTTCATACTTGCTTTTCTTCAGAAGAATCTAATAGAAGCTAGCTAACATTCACATCTGACAGGACAAAAAAAGGTATCTAAAAGTTGAAATTCAGAATCTTTTCTCTGCTATAAAATTTAATTAAAATCAAATTAAAATGTTAAATCAAAGTGTTTGCTTTTCTGAAACAAAAATGAAATTGGCAGGATTGTTGATACAGAATACTTTTCTAAGTTAGATCATATGGTTGCTGATGATAATACGTGGCATCGAGGCTCATTACACTTGGCTGTGATCAACAAACTAATTGGTGGGGGCATTTGTGCAGAGTTAAGACTTGCATGTTAACATAATGCACTTATATTGATTTTCTGTTCTCCAGGTCAAGGCTTTTCAGGTGATTATCATGAATATTTTGGACTACAAGTAGATGAAGACGCCTTGATTTACCTCATGCTGGCAAATCATTTGGTTCACATGTTGTATCCAGATTCTATAACAATAGCGGAGGTAAAGGCTTGATGATCTGTAACCTCTGACCCTCTTTAACATAGAACATTTTGCCAGCACAGTGTTTGAATAATTAATCCCATTTTGTCAATAACTGCATAACTGAAACTGTACCCTGACTACAGTGCAACTGCCTTGTATAGGTGACACATTATTGAGAATTCACTTTTTTTTCTAGGAGATAGGGTTCACTAATTACTTGTCATCATTCCATTGTTAAAAGAGAAAATGCCAATGGTTAGGAAGTAAAATAATCTAATCAGTGGACTGGTCTTTCTGCTATGAGCCCTTCAGCAGAGAAAAGGATTGAATATTCATGGGCTTCTGTCTATTTATTTATTTTTTCTTTTCTGGTTTAATCATTAGAGATGGCATGGATCGCTGCCTGTGAGCTCCTCCGAAGCCCCTCTTGTTCTGATGCGATTACCTTTCTTGTTTACGTTACTGCTCTCCCATTGCCAAATGTTCACTAGTTATTCATGATTACTGAATGTTCATGATTAACTGTCCCAAAGCTGCACTCTAATGATATAATTCGGTATATGCATAATTGACAATTCCCCTCTTGGTGATAAATGTGATAAATTAAGAAGTTTGTTAAATGCTTATGCTAATTTAGATTTAGTACTAAATTCCCCATGGTTTCCTGAGTCCTCTGACTAGGAATTATTATTAAAATTGAATTCAGTACTTTAAAACTGTTATATACAAAGTGTAGTGGTCGGCATATAAAAATAGTAAGACTATTGTTAAAAGAATCGGAGATAAGTTGTATTTTCACAATGTTGGCCTTTAGTTCATTGGAATGAAATGGAGTAGTTAGCGGCTGTCTCCTTTCTGTAGTATTTATTGTCTGTATAGCTTTTGTTCAATACTTTATTTTTATATAGTTTTATTCATTATTTCTCACAACCCCAAATCTCCCATTAGGTGGTATGATTTTCTGGGTTGATAACAGTTAATCTCTTTAGGCCTTTGCCTTGTAAATATCTTCTAGGAATAAAACTATGGATCCTGAATGCCTGGAATGAATTCTTATATAGAATTTTCAAAAACCCAATACTTGTAATACCATTTTGGTGCCCATTATTATTTCACACTCTTTACCTATTTACACTTGGTCATAGCTTATAAACCCTGCTAATACTTGTGCTAGTACTTTTTGCTGACTATCTTTGAACATCAAACACAGTATGTTTTAAACTTTTATTTTATCTTTTATAAATTTTAATTTTCTCTGTCAAACATCAAAAATTTAATTATTTTGTCAATTATATTTATGACAATTCAAAGCAGATTTGACAAATTATTGTAAGCAATTAATGACAGCACAAATCAAAAGCGGGTACTGAAAAAAGAAGCAATTATTTAATACATGAAACTTCAATTGTTATATTGATCTTTTCATTCATTTCAAGTAAAGTAGTTTCATCATCTAGGGAGCCCTTGTCTGATTATCAGTGTTTCTACCAATGAAACTTTGAGACTTTGGCCTACTTTGTATTACTTGGTTTTAGATTTTTTTTAAACAAGATGCGTCTTCAATTTATTCTACTTAAATTGAAAACTACTTCAATTTCAATACATCACTTTTCTGTCTAGTGGGAGTCTCTTCAAAATGTGGAATTGATCCTCATGAACTTTTTTTAAAGAAAGGAATATGGTATAACGAAAAAGTAATGAAGTTTTATATAAAGTCCTATAGTAGATATTTGAATTTATTTATAATGACATTTATTAAAATTGAAACATTTTTCTGGAGTATATCTACCTCTCTACACAGTTATATTTGCTATATTAACTTAAAATATTTGTTAATTGAGGTTATTTTCCCCTCTGGAATAGCCGTAAGTACCCTTTAGATATTAGAGAATGAGAACTGTTTTAACTTTATTTGAAACACGATTATTTTAATATGCTATGTTGGTAGGTATCAACCTTTTTAATTTAAAATACATTTGTTTTAGTGATCTTTATGTTTACCTTTTTGTCTTTTAATATTTAAAAATGATAGTCATGAACTCTCCACTTTCAAAGGAGATATACAGATATCTTCATATGCATTAATGGGGAGGTTTTCTAGGATTCAGATTTAGGATTCAAGACCAATTGATGTCCAAATAGTTTTTTTTCGCAGACTCTATTTCCTGTCAGACTCTTTCCTAAAGCTATCTTTAGACCAAATATGGAATGTACTGTAATGTTTTCTTGAGAAAAATTATCTTGATCTTTATTACCAGCCTATTTATTACCTGTCTTATGAAAACTCCTGGTCTTCTAGAAACTCTCCTCAGAAGGCATTGTTTCTAATTCCAGGGCATGATATGGGTGCTTGATATTGAACACATAGTCGGCCAATGCTTATGAGGAATTGAACTAGAGAACTATCAGATCTGTGAAAGTGTAGCATATTTTGATAAATACAACTTTTTTTAAATGGCGTTTTTTCTGTTAACCACCTTTTTTCACTTATTTTTTAATCATCATTTTCCCCTTTTATAGACTGTAAAGTACTATGTAGTAATAAGATATAATTGATAAATATTTTATTTCTTATGGATGTATTACACCATGTAGTATATTTACCTATACTCCTCATCTGTAAGAAAACCAATTAATAAGTTATTTTGGGAGTCCAGAGAGATCATATATTTCTTTTTTCCAACTTTCTGTGGGAACAGTTTGGGGATGGTGTTGTGGAAGAGAAGCATTTAATTCTCAGAGAGCTCATGGTATATGATATTCTTTTTTCAAATATATATATTTTTATTATAACTAATTTATTTTTACTCTGATTACATTTTGTTGTATAGTAACACAATTAGGAAGTCCACAGACTTTGGATATCAAAAGAGGATCAATGTCATGTCTATAATTAAATTTAATCTCTATTGTAAGCTACTATTTAACCTGAAGGAGAAAGCCACACAAGTTCAGGAAGCACAGAGGGTGAAACCCAAGACACATCATAATTAAGGCTTTTTACAATATTCTTTTATAGGAAGAGCTTGGGCAATGACATAAGTAGAAAAGCTTGCGACATGCCCAGAGAAAATATTTCAAAGTGGATGAAGCATTTAGTACTTGAGGATGAAATAATATAAAATAATGGTAGAAAGATGCAGTTCTCTCCATTGCACTTTCTGTGTGCTTAAGATGACAATTATCACAACTGGATCACCTTGCCACGTCATGATGATAAGTGTGTGTATATATTTAGGTTGAAGTTTATGAATCCCTGAAGGTCAGACATCTTATAATCTTTAAATCCTGAGAGCACCTTCATTCATACACTCAGCAAACATTTATTGGGGACCTGCATCATGCCAGGCACTATTCTACTATTATATGTTCTTGGCATATATCAGTTAACAGCAATAACAACAAAAACCCTGCCCCATGAATCTTACATTCTAACAGTGAGGTACAAACAGATAACCAAGGAGTAAATTATGTCATTAATGCTTGATGTGTGTTGAATGTGAGTTTCCGATCGTTGGCTATTGAGAGCTATTGATGGGCAGCAGCAGGATCTGGCTGTCTCGTACGATGTTAATTAGGCAGCGGTCAGTGGGAAGAGAGACTGGAGGTGGTGAACTCCATTTGGGGACACGATGGTCCCAGCAAGCCGCAGTGACGACCAGATAGTGGCTGCAGGAGTGGAGGAAAGGAAAAGATTTACTGGGCAGATACCGTGGAGCGACAATTGCTAGTACAGGGCTCATGTTCTGCCGCTGTTGCTACAGTAAGACATTTAGTTACATCTAGGTCCTTATACCGTTGTTTTCTTTTGACTTGTTTGTTCGATTGCATATTTATTTATTTGATTATCAGTCATGCGGTGGTGGCATGACCAAATAGAAAGGCAGTGTCGAGAGTCCCGACACCTCAGTCCTGGCCCCACCATGGAAAAGCTCATATCTTTAGAGACCCCGCACCTCAGTAAGCCTCAGTTTCTGTATCTTCTGAATGAAGAGGCCCACCGGGTGACCTCAATGACCCTGTCCAAGCGTAACTGGCCGTACCGAAGGCCACCTCCCTGCGTCACCCTTCGCGCCCTAGCTCTGCTCCCATCTCCTCGGGAACGAGCTGAGCGGGGCAGGTGCTCCCGCAGTGCACCCGGGGCCTGGCAGCCAGCGCGGGAGAGCTGTGCCGCAGGTACCTCTGTGTTTCCTGAAAGCGGTAACTAATAAAGAATGTTCGCAGGGTAGCTCAGACATCAGCCTAAGAAATCATGGGGTAGCAGCAATAGTTGGACTGTTTTGTGTTCTCTATGTGATAACAAGGACAAGAAAAAGAGCCTCACGCCATCAAAGCTGTCCTGCAGTGAAGGGCATGACACGGAATTTTGGGGGAAGTGAGAGGCTATCACAGTTTTATCCACTTACGTTACCCAAACACACCAAAATATACGCCTATACCCCTACTTATTGTTTTCATTTATTGGCNGAGCCTCACGCCATCAAAGCTGTCCTGCAGTGAAGGGCATGACATGGAATTTTGGGGGAAGTGAGAGGCTATCACAGTTTTATCCACTTACGTTACCCAAACACACCAAAATATACGCCTATACCCCTACTTATTGTTTTCATTTATTGGCCTTACCATTACTGTCAGAAGAATATTTAGTAAAGATGTGAGCAGTATGAAGCTATAATGTGATGTCCTTTGTTTTAGGACGTATCAGGAATGCCAGCTCTGTGTTGTCCAATTTCCCAGGGAGGGTGTGGCTTTGACTATCGATTAGCCATGGCAATTCCCGATAAATGGATCCAGGTAAGGTTCCCTGTAAATATTTTCTGTCTGTGTGGCTAGCATGTATTAAATTGGTTGATTTATTATTTCTTGGATGTATTTCTTAGTCATGATTATTAGTTACAGATATTATCATTGAAGTACTAAATCATCTCATAAATGGGTTGCTTCTTGTGAGTCTCAAACTTCTGAAAGTTCTAATTTAAAGTATTTACATTTGCACTATTCAGGCAAGGGGGGAAATATGATTAATATAATGTTAGCTGTATAATGTTGGCTGTGTACATTTTGCATTATTAATGCAATTGTACCAAACTTCAGTATTCTACTTTTAAAACATGTTAAACTTCATCAGATATCCACTTCTGCCTGCAAATTATCAATTAATGTAGAAGATATGCCTAATTCCCAGTCCTTCATAGTATGGTCTGTCCTCAGTTTATTTGGATTCATCCAGTCCTTCATTTAGCATTTATGAGTCCTCAGCGTGTGTCAGTAACTGGGAGTGAGTAATTGTACATAACACCTTACACATCATTTATAATACAATTATATTAAATTTAATGACAATTCCAGTAGTTTGGATTGTATTTTGTTTCATTTAATGTTTGCTTAGAGGAGAACAGTTTTGAATGGCCAACTCCATAACCATAAGCTGACTATGTGTAAGGAGTCAGATATGTATTAAATAATCATAGCTTTCCGATGAGCCTTTTAGTATAGGCGTGAACTGGTGCCATGAGATCAGTGTTAGAAATAGTTAACTTTGCATAAAAGAACCATAGAGCCTATTCTGCAGGAAGTCGTTATTGTAATCATCTCATAACTGTCTTTCCTGGAGTCCCGGGCAGTTTGTGCAATGTACAGCTGTGACATTAAAACTCCACCAACACCACTTTTGCTTCTCCACTTATAATGACTCTTCAGACATTGCCAACTCAACAAGCAAGTGTTTTACCAAGACTATTAATCTTACAAATCAAACAAGTGAGCATCTAGCTTTCATACGTGGGAATGGTGCTTTCTATTTGTTAGTTTAAAAGCTGTGTGGTCTTCAAGTTGGTTTAAGTTTCTTTATCTACTCACCATCACAGTTTCTCATCTTTTACACAGCTAGTGCCAGTTCTTACTTTGTTTACCCCCCATTGCAAAGCCTTCACCATTGGCTGGTCTTTGCTCAGATTCATGAGTATTTCAAGGTGTTCATCAACCTAGAATGTTTCCCAGTCATCACTCACAGTGGGATTATTTTCCTTGTCTGAATGATGGCAATTTGTTTTTATCTTTATAAAAATGTTTTTACTGATTTCAGAGGGAGGAAGGGAGAGGGGAAGAGAGAGAGAAACAATGATGAGAGAGAAACATTGATCTGCTGCCTCCTGCATGCCCCCTATTGGGGATGGAGCCCACAGGCCTGACCAGGGGTGGAAAAAAGTATGTTAACAGTTGCATTGTGACATTCCTTTGAGTTAATAAAGCTATTGTAATAATCATAGCCTGCATGTCTTTTTCCATATGAACAACTGTAAACCTACTTTGCCCACCCCTGTATATCTATCTTGCCTTGAATTGTTTTTGTATACTTGTCAAAAATTAATTGTGATATTTGTGTAGGTCTGTACATTAGTTTCAGATTGTTGCTGTATCTAATTACCACAAACATAGTGACTTAAAACATTACTCCATGATTATCTCATGGTTTCTTCAGAGGACATCCACCCATCACAGTCAAATGTCCCACCCACACGCTAAAGGATCACCTAAAGGTGTGAATATGAGGGAGCAGGAATCATGGGGCCACCCTAGAGTTCTGCCTGTCACAGAGTGCAGTGGACACTTTGAACAGGGAAACGAGCCCATGCAGAAAGAGTGTAAAGGAAAAGAGGCTCTTCTGAGGACGGGACTTTGAGGGGCACCAGCTTTTATGGGACAGGTAGAGGAAGAGGCTTGCAGGACGCTTAGAGTGGAGGGGAGGCAAAGCAGTCAAGAGTTTCACAGTGCAGACTAAGAAGGAAAGCGTTTCTGGGGAGGAAAGGGTCAGCCTTGTTAACATGCAATTACTGACCTAAGAGGCAGGAATCTGAGATGTGGGCAAAGGCATTTGCATTGAAGTGGTGTTAGAGGAGCACAAGGCAGATTGAAGACTGAGTGGAGACAAAAATGTGTGGTCAGTTAAGATGACACTTATTTCATAATAATTAACCTTTAAATTTTTAAACAATAGTTCTCTAATTATTATTTTAAAAGAATGGAACAAAACACTATTCCTGGTGATTTTTTTAAATCCAGCCTAAAAATGTAGCAAGTATATCTCTGCCTTGTGAAAGTTACAGAAAGATGTATTGCACAATAACACTTTCTTGTATTATTAATCAAGAGGTAGCAGTTTTTACAAGGGGAAAAAGGTTGCAAAATCTTAAAGTGCAATGTCAAACAATCTGCACAAAAGTAAAAATACAGGTGCGTGCACATACTACACACACACACACACACACAAACCACACACTGTCATTTGGACAGTTTCTTAAAAGCAATGAATCAAAAAAAGTTTCAGCAAAGATATCTTTGCTATATGGGTGGGCCTGTATCTGCATGCCAAGGTATATGGATGGATATGATGCATACCTTAAGGTTGGGATTTAACGTAGGTTTATGCTAATTATATTCTCTCTTGCATCTAGCTACTTAAGGAGTTTAAAGATGAAGATTGGAATATGGGCAACATAGTGCATACACTCACAAACAGACGCTACCTTGAAAAGTGCATTGCTTATGCAGAGAGCCATGATCAGGTAAATGAGTATTTGGGTAATGCATCTGTGTGTGTGTGTGTGTGTGTGTGTATTTATTAACATATTTAAACACAAATTTCTATGGTTTAATACCGTTAATATAACATATCCATCTATCTACAGTTATATCTGTATGTGAAAATTACTTATACTTGCAAAACATTTTAAAATTATTTCATAGATCTATAAATTCCAGCTTCAAAATACAGAGCCATTTTTATCCTGCCAATTTCCAAAAGATTGTAAGTTACAGTTGCAAATGTTATCTTAGATGTTTTTCTTTGTTGTAATGAGAGGATTAGTGGTGCTGATCCAGGTTAATTTTAATTTCCATTTTAGGTTTCCTTCTATGCCTTTTTACAGGCTTTTGTCATTTTTTCCCTCAATCACTAAAATCTCCTGCTAGTTGGTCACTGTCCCCTTAGCTTCAGTCCATCTTCTCTAATGCAGCCAGAGGTATTTTCCAAAGAGCAAAGCTTATATTGTCAACCCAGCTCTTTTGAGTGAAGCTTGTTGTTCAAGAACCTGGCGTGAGTCAGTTTCTACCTTCATTCTCTGCTCAACTCTCCAACCCTTCTTTTCTTCAGTCCTGTAAAGCTCCCACCCATTCCTGAATAGGTTATCGTAATTCTAGTCTTGTACCTCTGCCCACTCAGCTACACATGCCTGCTGCACCTGGGAACCTGCAGTAAAAGACCCAGTAGCCCTGGCCCGATACCACACTCCCTCTGAAGCCTTTGTCTAGTTGTCTAGGGTAAGAATAGTTGCTCCACCATCCATGTTCTCATCATGTTTTAGCCAGAAAATTGCTTGTATACCTTTGTATTTCCAGCTTTAATACTATGACTGCTCCTAGTATTCACTCAGTAAACATAAATAAATAGAGGGAAATGTCCATTTAGTTTTTTAAAGCTATACTAATCCTCATAAGCATAAACAATATAACATATACTCTTTAAACATTAAAAATGAGACAGTAGCCCAGCCGGGCGTGGCTCAGCGGTTGAGCGTCGAGCTAGGATCCAGGTGATTGGGGTTCGATTCCCGGTCAGGGCACATGCCCGGGTTGCGGGCTCGATCAATGACTCTCTCTCTCCCTCTCCTTTCCTCTCTCTGAAATCAATAAAGTTATATTTAAAAATAAATAAATAAAAAATAAAAAATAAAAATGAGACAGTAAACATTTTTGAATTATTTGACATGTGTGTACTAAGAAAATTGAAGCTTAAACAATAAGCTTGTCTGTTATTTCGGCAGAAATTGACAGGTGGTTTTTCAGGTGTCTTCTCTAATTATTAAGAAAGTGTAAGTAGATCAGAGAGGTCTGCTATTAAGACCCATGGGCCAAATTCTGCTTGCTTCCTATTTTTATAAAATTAATTGGAACACAGCCATGCTCATTCATTCTCATTATGTGTATGGCTGCTTTTAAGTAGTCAAGACAGAGAAAGTGGCCCATAATGCCTAAAATATGTACTATTTGGCCTTTACAGAAAATATGCTGACTCATGAACTGGACATATGCAGCTTCTAAGTCAAAGCACTGTTGTCTTTTCAGCTTAAATTGGCTTTAGAGCAGATCAAATAAATATGAAAAAAACAGAACCAAAATATTACAGAATAATAAATGAATAATAGTTATTTAAGGGTGGGGGAACCACTCACCAAAAACGTAACAATATGAAAACTAAAATACATGTATAAATTATATCTTTCTATTCCAAACTCCTAGCAATTGAAGTACATTGCGAGCTCCTGATATGCACTTATTTTGTATGAATGAATGAAAGAACAAATAAATGAATGGGAAAAACAAACTGAAGATGAAAGTGATAGATTACTCTCATAATTTTCCTCCAAAATGTATAGAAATATTATAGATTTACCTAAAATTATTTCATATTTTAAAGAGTCAGGTAATTCTGCCTTGTATTACCAATTGTCAGAAATGTATAAAGAAGTGCAAGTTCCCTTGTTCTTTCTAAAAGCAAATGTACAAATACATCTAATAAAAATTATAAATACACAACTGGGTCAAAAGTAGGTTTACAGTTGTGAATATGGGGAAAAAAAGTTCATTCTTGTACTATTATTTATTAATTATTGTATTATTTTCCATATGGACAACCATAACCGTACTTTTGCCCCACCCTGTATATTGATCAAATGAATAATACAGAAATATATACATCACAGTAAAAGTATAACAGAGTTTATCAAAATGATTTCATAACAGAGCCAGAGATTACAGAAGTAAACAGTTACACGTAAAAATATAATTAAACAGTTCAAAACAAGTGGAAAGGACACATTGTTTAAGAAATAATGCTGTCTAATCACAATTAAACTAATACATTTATATCTTACATACATTGTTTTCATACTTTTTTTTAGCAGTAGAGCCTATTTTTAAACTATTCTCATATGGAACTCGATGTTTTATTGTCAGATTGAAGCTGCCTTTTACTCTACTACATGTATTAGTCTCCTAGGGCTGCCACAACACAACAAATTTTCATTCATTTAATTTTAGGTAAATCTATAATATTTCTATACATTTTGGAGGAAAATTATGAGAGTAATCTATCTGTCAGTTTCATCTTCAGTTTGTTTATCCCATTCATTTATTTGTTCTTTCATTCATTCATACAAAATATGAATGAATGAAAATAATATTCATTTATTCATGAATAAACAACAAATTTATTACTTAGTTCTGGAGGCTGGAAGTACAAGATCAAGGTTTCAGCAGGTTTAGTTTCTCCCGAGGCTTCTCTCCTGGGTTTGCAGATGGCGTTTTCTATCTGTGTCCTCAAGTGGTCTTTCTCTGTGCACATTTATTCCTGGTCGTTTTTCCTCTACATATAAGGACACCACTCCCTGGATTAGGACCCAACCCTTATGACCTCATTTAACTTGATTATCTCTTTACCCTATCTCCATAGTCACATAGGCAGTTGAGACGTCAACATGAATTTGGGGTGGGGGAGAACACAGTTCAGTCCATAACAGTACGCATTATTTGTATGTTTAGATTTAAAATATTTACCTGAATGTCAGGGTACAAAAAGGTTGCTTCGATAAAGAAAAAAAAAATTGAACTCAAGTAATACATATGACAATTACCATCTAATCAAACTTTGAGAATTCTTGTGGCAAGAATCATATTCTGACCAATTCTTTCTTGGCCCACAAAATTAGGACAAGACCAATGGAATGAGTAGATCTTCTTGTAACAGTATTCAAAAGACAAGTCATTATAATCAAAGTAGATTAGAGAGTGTAACAGGATTATAAGTAAAAATATTTTTCTAAAAATGAAAATAATTGTAATAAAGTAATGAGATAATGGTTTAATCTGTTATATGTTTCACTGTACATATATTATTTTTTGTCAGTGAAGAAGATTTTGTATTAGTAAGCTGTTTTTAACCAAGAATAATTCAGATTGCTAAAAGGTTTCTCTTCTGCTCAGGTTGTTTCTGAGTAACCTGCCCCATTTATCAATTATTATATTTTCATGTAAAACAAATGCATTTTAGATTAAATGACAAGTACAATGAGGAAACAAACTATGTTTTAAGAAAAAGTTGTCAACCCTCCGCTGAAGGGGAGGAATGTCCATTGTAATATATTCATATATGTATTATATGTGCACATATATGTAATACATATTATATACATATTCATATATAGATACATATACTTATATAAGTATATATACATATAAAAGATTTTTTAGAAACTTACATTCTTTCAAAACAAATAAATTCATAGTACGCAAACTATTTCAAAATCTATTTAGTATCCTCAACATTATAATAAAAATTTATTCCAATTTTAGAAAATTTGAAACATCCACTCAGTTATGATAGCCAGGTAGCTTATGAGTTTTTCAACAATCTCTTTTAGAAATAACCAGTCCTGAATACACGTGTTGGTCTTTAACAGGTTTTAGCAGCTCACCTTTATCATAGAAAGAATTATTGGCATATACATTAAATTAATACTAATTCATGCACCTCTCCTACATTGTTTTTCATCCTGTGTTATTCTAGTGTAAATCATAGCTGCTTCATTCCAATTCCCGGCATTCATCTCCGATTTTTCCTTCTGTAGGCACTCGTTGGGGATAAGACACTGGCATTTTGGTTGATGGATGCTGAAATGTATACCAACATGAGCGTTCTGACCCCTTTTACTCCAGTTATTGATCGTGGAATACAGCTTCATAAAATGATTCGACTCATTACTCATGCCCTCGGCGGGGAAGGCTATCTCAATTTCATGGGTAAGTGTGAATTGAACACATATTCCAATCTATGTTTAAAATGTTAACTAATACTACCTGTGCATAAATCATGTAGAATATTTTGATTTGGCTGTTTAGATTTAAAATAGAAAATTACAACTTTATGTCTTTAATATACTGTCATGTGTAAACTGCAAAAATTAAATTGCTGTAAGACTGTTATAACTAATACATGATGCAAAAGTAGTCTAATGGCTTGTATTTTATTTAATATTATTGACAAGTGCAGCAAGTTATTTTTAAAACAGAATTATTCTGAATTTAATCATTCTGTGTTTATTTTATTGTAGTGCTTGCACATTAAACATAAGAAAGTATAATTGTCATGTCATAATATGTTATACTAATATTATTGGTTTTCTTTGAGGTAATTGTAGACCAGTATATTTTATTATAAATGTGAAAGCCATGGTCCAGGATATTATGATGGGCAAACAATATTTTTTAAAAATAGAAATATTTTTAAATTGTATGAAGACTCTTCATTGATAAAATATGGAAGTCAACTAATACAGCTTTCTGTTCCATTTGATTAACAAGGACTATTTGAACATTTGAGCTTTCGGAGATTTTGCCAGCTTTTAGGCTAGAGAGAGACAGAAAGATTTAAGGCTAGAGAGAGAGAGTCTTGGTCAGTATTTTCTCTGAGGGTCAGGAACTTCATAAACTTTGTGAAATGTTTATAATAATAACATATGAACTATATTTTCAACCTAGGGCAGGCCAAACATCTATTCTCTTTTGGAAACTCTTCTCATGGAACTTTCAATAGTAACACAATAAACACATTTCTAGCATCTCTTTCTATAATGTCTGTAAATTGATCATATTTGTGGTATCAAGTATAATTCTGATGTTATTCTTTGATATAGGATTCAGAGATCCTTTGAAGTTTTATTCTTAAAGCTTTTGTCCTTGAAATAAATGGCTTCTAATATTTAACTCTAATATAACCTTTTTTTTATGCCTTCTATTTCAGCATCTTATGTAAATCTTGCATATCTCTTACTTTAAAATCAGTAATTTCCAGATGGCTCTAATTACTGATTATGGATGTGTTTTATGAAATTTTGTATTTCCCCATGGGATATCATGATTTTAAATATATATTTTCCCCATGTTCTGATCATGTCACTGTTCTGCTTAGTGGCTACAGTGGTCACAGTGTCCCCCAGCCGCCCCGTAGGCCTCGCGCGAGCAGCCCCCCGTGGGTTTCCCCGCCGTTAGCATGGCTGGAGCCAGCCAGGCCCCTCCCTGTTACTGAGTGTGCCAGCCGCCCCCACCCTGAGCTCTGCACGTGCCGCCGTCTCACGGTGGGAATCACCCCTCAGACACCCCTCCCTTTCCCCACCCGACCCTGTACCGGCAACTCTCACGTCCCCCGGGGCCTTTCCTAAAGACCTGCTAGCTTTCCGGTTACACATGTGTATAACTGTGTACTGTGTGTATAGTACCTATGCCACCTTTCATGACACTTAACAGAATTACATTTGAAAACGCATTCAATGTATGATTCCCTTGAAAAAATGAAAACTCAGTGGAGATAGAGGTCATCTGTATCTTATCTCTCTTCTATCCCCAGGAACTAGTAGCAACTAGCACTGTAATCTAGCACATCACAGGGCTTTCACATTTTTCTGAAAAAGGATATCAAATTATGTATATATATATGTATGTATATATATACACACACACACACATATATATATATATAATAACTGTATGTAATATTTTTAGCAGTGGTTCATTAGCTGCAATCACCAGTTGCAGTTTCAAGCAAAGTAATTTTTTCCAGCAGCATATAGGAAATTAATATTTTATAAAATCAAGTAAAGAAATTTTTCAAGACTAAGGTGAAACCTGGTTGTTTACTCATGTCTTAGACGTTTTTAAACTTGTTAGCTATCTGGAATTTTAATTTTATTTCCCTCTAATAGAGAAGGAGTGAGTTAAAAGGAGCAAAATAACACATTTTGGTAGTTTTTAATTAAACCACGCTTACATAAATTTGGCAGGCATTTAAATATGTGTTTTCTTATAAAAAATCATTAAGATAAATAATGGATTTTCTCAGAATGATACCACTTTGGCTGTTTTGTTTTGTTTTTGCCTTATGTACAGCTAATTTTGAGTTTAAATTTTTTTTTTTTTACTCTGGTTAAAGGAAAGGAACATTCCCTATGAATTTTTTTATTTGCTAAGTTATGTTAATTGGTAATGAATAAATACATTTATATTTCTTCTTCTGTCATATAGTCATATAAAAAATCAAATATAGAAGAGGGAAGTAGGGATAGCTGAATTACTTTTATATTTTCACATCACTCATTGTAAGAGTTTATATTGGCATCGTGTTCTCTACTTTCTAAAACATATTCACATACATCATCTAATCTTCATAAAGCTTTTCTTGTTTTATACTATGCTTTAGTTCTAAAGAAGCCTGCGATGAAAGTTAGAAGAGTGCTGAGGTATGCTAGGTAGATGTTACAAGTCCCATTTTGCTGAAACTGCCACTAGGAGAGGCAAAGTGGCAGGCTCAGGCTAACTTCATGCAACCAGAAAATGACAGCAGCTGGTTGGTTGTCTTTCTCTCTTGATTTCCAATTTGAGAAAATTAAACAAAAAATTATTCTTAGATCAATATGTAGATTATCATGAATATTAATGAATATTAATAATACGAATGATTAATGAATATATTTTAGGGAAAAGATAGAGCATGGTGGTTAAGAAACACTCTGAATGGGAATCCAAGCTTTTGAGCTGTGACCTGGGTAAGAGGTGTCATCACTTGTCCCTTTGTGCTCAGTGGTAATGGAGTAGCTCCTGCTTCCCAGGAGTGTTCTGAAGGTGATTTGATTTAATGCATAGACAAGATTCAGAATATTGCCAGGCACAGAGATCATAATTAAGTTTTATTTAAATATAAGTTTAATTTTAAGTTAAATTTGCTACTACTATGCTTAATATTATTAGTTGTTCCATTAAATACATGAGTCCTGAATGCTGATGTTCCAATTCCCTCTAAGAGGGTTTCTTTAGAATCTTGTCTGATGGTACATTGTTTAACTTAAATGTTTCTTAAAATGTTTATTTTCATTTTCTCTTTAAAATATCAGAAAATTTCATTTTCTCTTTAAAATCAAATAACATTTTTCCAGTTTATATTATGTGGTAAATTAAGTCATTTCTGCAGGCTCACTAAGAGTAAATAGTACCATTTTTGTGTTTAATTCATAGTGACATTTACTGAAAGTTGCTGTGAAAACACCTTACTAGCTTTCATGTCTGAGGGATCTGAGAGTTGCCTCAATTACTTTTTATTTCTAGGGTGAGCCAATATCATAAATGATCAGTGAATATTTATTATGTATCACATGGTGTCTGTGCATGAATCCCTGTAAGCATTGGATAAAACGGAGCATGTGTTTCTGGCATTCCTGTGCACAGGACTGAGAGAGGGAGAGGGAGAGGGAGAGGGAGACGGAGACAGAAAGAGAATATGGATTGACTTAGGCAAGTTCAATTTAAAAAGTTAGTGAGATATGTATCAATTTAAACTATAAATTTAATATATTCATAACATTCTAGACTGTGGTTTAACACAATTTATGAAATCCCTTCATGCTTCAGACATTTATATGTATCTGCTAGGTACCAGGTATTGCTAAGCGGTGGATATTCCAAGGTGGAAATAGTTCTGCCCTCAAGGTCTCAAAATTCGAAAGAAAATACAGACAAGTAAGCGGACAAGTACTTTTATGCTAGTATGTGCACTAGATACAATGATGGACATCAGCAGAGAATGTCATGTCAATATGTAGAAACTAGGTTAGGAGCTTTTTGGTGAAATTTATGAGCTGCTTCAGCCAGCCACACAGAATAGAAAAGCACAAGAGAGCCATGCAGTGAAGTCAGTAAAAGTTTAAGTCAGAGCAGGACTGAAGAAATAGAGTGAGATTAAAGTCACTTGGGAATCTTAACCTTCAAATAAAGGAAAAAACCTGGGACCTAAGGGAATTGTTTTAGAGACCATTCATTGCTTGGCAAGTTTAATGCAAAGGGTGGTTTTTTTCAGCCACTTTAAAATACCATGAACTCTTCAGTAAGAAAAACCTGATATGGATGGTTAAATGGCTTATGGTTTATTTTTTTCTCTATTAACAATTTAACTGAAAGGATACAGATTAGAAAAATAAGCTGTGTGATTGTTGATAATCTATATGGATATGTCTTTGCTACTTCTTATAATCATTAGTTGCTTAAGAATGTTTAATTGATAGTTAAAAATAAATATAAAATACAAAACATCTGCTTTAGACATAGAGTGACCTCAGTGAATATATATGTTAATTGCAAGTAGATAAACTCCTAAGACAATTCCAAGAAGCAAGTGAGGATAGGGAGATATTTAGCCCAGCTTTCTGGAGGTCATCTGGTATCACTGAAGAATTAAGCTTTCCTGATCCAGTCTGCTGAGGCAGAGGGAGTGGTCACATGGCTTCATGACATGACTCCTCAGGAATTGCTATAAGAGGTGTGGTCAGACCCTGCTGGTGTTGCTCAGTGGTTGAGTGTTGACCCATAAGTCAAGAGGTCACCAGTTCGATTCCTGGTGAGGGCACATGCCCAGGTTGTGGGCTCAGTCCCCAGTAAGGTGTGTGCAGGAGGCAGCTGATAGATGTTTCTCTCTCTCTATCCCTCCCCCTTCCTCCTTCTCAAAAAATCAATAAAACTATATTTTTAAAAAAGAAGTGTGGTCAGACAGGCAAATGGGTGGCTATGATCAGTGATCACAGTTACTAGGAACAAAAATGCTAATACTGATACACAGTAATAATGTAATACCAAAATAATGGCATTGATAGCATTTTTTATTAAAGACTGCTTAGAATAGTAGAAAAAGAGAAGAAACTAAATATTTAACCCATTTAAAAAATTAATGTGGATAAAGAAGGTAAAGAGATTAACTAGAG